TAAGTGTCTATAGGAAGACATTTTACTGGCATAAACTAATTTAATAAAGCAATCGCTTATTTAATCTTGATCAAAATTGCTAAAGCTCGATGACATTATTTACATTTAGTCTGTACTTTGTAAAATCTATTATTTTCAAATAATATCCTTTTAACAGAGTTCTTAGTAGAATAGAAGCATAAGCCCGGAAAGATAAATAAGAAGTTAAAATCGTTTCCAATATCATTAAAGTGGAAAGCTCAATGGAAGAGAAAATTACGATTTTCTAATAATGGCGGCTTTTTAACAAGTTTCTTTAGAAAGCTTTTAGCAAAATATACTTTCTGCGGGCTTATATAGCATTATCGGTAATAGAAAATCTAAGAGCGAAAGATATACCTTCGAAACCAAATACGATTTTTACAAAATTTATTTCATTGCGTGATTTAAATCGTGCGTGATTTAGTCGAGCCCCCGGCTGATTTAAATGAAGTTTGCCATTAAATCGTGCCACTGACTGTTGGTGTATAAAATCAAAATGCAACACTAAAATATAGGTAGCACAACCTTATTTGCATTAACACCATTGCAGCAAATTTCGAACGAAACAAAACTGTTAAAACAGAATTTATTGCGCCAATCTCGCATTACATGCGACATACAATATGGCAGTTGCCACACCCTTTTGTAACTGCACAGACGTTCTAATAAATTTACATGACAAATTGTTATTCTAATTGCTGTTATCACTTTGTTTAATTAGGGTGTGCACCATTTTCCATACCAAACACGATTGAAACTTGACAAAGCTTATGCTTTTCAGAACATATCAGACTAATATTTTTAGTCCGAACAAGGGCGAGAATCGTTAGATTGTTGGGTGTGATAGCAAAACTTCGGAATTAATACCTATTTATTTGGAGCAGCTTCTTTAGTTACTACTACAACAGTTAGTACTACAATTATTTTTCAGAAGGGATTTTATTTGACGGAAATTAAATTGAAAGTGCTTTGAGATAAGTTATTATACAGGGTGATCCGTAAATATGTTAAAATATTTTAACAGCGTGTTCTTCTAGTCATTTTAGAGGGGGTCTCCTGATAATTTTGGGGGTTTTGTTGTTGAGTTATTTGATTTCCAAAATTGCGGAAAATATTAGTTTTTGTTGTTTTTATTTAACGGTTAAACATGGAAACTTCAGTTTTGGTATACATTTTAAGCTAATTGAGGGCCATTTTATGATGGTGTTGCGTGGTTCAGTTTGCTTTTATACAGGGTAGAAATGTGGAACACCTACTTTTGTTTTGTTCACTTTTGTTCAAAACTTTTTTGTGTGCATCTAAACTTTTTTCGAGATAATCTTTTTTATTACTACAAGTTATTTAGCAACGTTATTATCTCTTCGTGTTTTCTCCGAGGACCACTAGTTTGCCCGCAAAAAAAATCGTTTTCTATCCCGTTCTCAAAATGTGTAAATAATTAAGTTATTTTTTTTACATCTAATAACTTCTTCATATAACAATTTTGATACGCATTATTAGTTGATTACTAACAACCCAAATTTATTTTTTAACTTGTGTATTTTTGTTCAGATTACAATTATTAAGTTTTAATAAATTTTACTTAAATAAAAACATGGTAACAATATGCGCAACGATATAGACAAACAAAATTAAATTTAAATAACCATTCTAATGTTAATTTAGCAGCAGTGAAAATTGGTCACCTTGATATTCTCGGCATAAGTCTGGCAGTCTTTTATTGCATTAAAATTTACAGACCGTAAAGTTTGCACTGAAGTTCTTATTTCATTAGAAATATTAAATATTATTTCCTAAAGTTCTTCGATTGGATTGACTTCTGTTGAAAATACCGTATTTTTTAAATGGTCCCAGAAGTAAAAGTCAAGCGCGTTTAGATCGGGATATCTAGGAGGCGAGTTTCCAATCCAACGGCCTGGGAAGTTTTGATCAAGCCAAAACGATTTAATTTTTTTGCGGGCAAACTAGTGCCCTTAAGAAAAAACAATAAGAGATAAAAAAAGTTTCTAAATAACTTGTTGCAATAAAAAAGATTATCTCGAAAAAAGTTTAGGTGCACACAAAAAAGTTTTGAACAAAAGTGAACAAAACAAAAACAGGGATTCCCCATTTCTAGTCGGTATAAAAGTAAACTGAATTACGAAACACTACCATAGAATGGCATTCAATTAGCTTATGATGTGTACCAAAATTTTAACCAAGTTTTAAAGAAAAACAACAAAAACTAATGTTTTTCGCTATTTTGGAAATCAAATATCACAAAAGTGAGTCCTCAAATAAAAAAGATTCTGAGGAAGACCCCCTCTAAGATGACTAGAAGAACACGCTGTAAAAATATTTTAACATATTTGCGGAACACCCTGTATATCGATGTTTCGAATATCAACACAGAACTCACACGGTTATTTTTGCAAATGTTACTGGTATTATTTGACGCGCTTATGTAAATGAAAACATTACTTTTGTATATATTTGTAACAAATTATTGATCTTTGTAACTAATGGACAAAAATTAGTAGATAAACCAAAACGGACCAACTACGGACATTTGAGAATATAGTAATATCGGTGTTATGAAGGATTTATTTACATTTCCATAAAGAAGTAAAAAATAACTTTCATTGTCCATTTGAAAACTTTGCATTTTCAATAATTTTCGAAAATTCTAGCATTGGGAGAACTGACGAAAATGCTTTGTGAGAGGGAAATAAGATGAATAAAAAGCAACATTACGAATGTACATTTTATTTAATTATAACTCAAAAGTAAAAAGAATTAGTTAAAGCCAAATATTTTCTGAAAGCACACCCAAGTATTGTTTTCGATACATTCGAATAACTAAAAGAATCGAAGACGTTACATTCACACTACAAATACTTTCAAAAGGTCTTCTTCCAAGAAAGCCTCTGTTCTCAACGACTCCCAAGTGGTTTTTAAATAATATCTGTCTAAAATAGAATATACTTACGCAAGTGGTATAAACTTCAGCATTCTTGCAAACTTTTATCTTTTTCTCTGGATATACGGTTTGACAATCCGACTGTGGCCACGGGATTCACTTCATTCGAATAAAACTTTTCCGAGTTTTTAAAACAGAAAGTGAAGCTTAGTTTTCCAAATAGCTGAATGTTGTTGTTATTCTTACTAATATTGGGTTTTATTTGAATATTTATATTAAACAAACTATTGTTTCATATATGAAAGTTGTTCATTATATGAAAGTGTCGAGCCTGGAGGGCTCGGTACAATAAACGCACTAAAAAGCTTTAAAATTTTGTTTTCAAACGATATCCTCGCTGAATGGATAATAAAGATGCACGTATTCGAGCTAGCAGATTTGAATAACAATATCTGAGCTATTAGTGGCTCAAGATTACTGAGCGAAAATAACTCGAAATTCGTTGCAATCTGCCCGCGTTCATTCTGATGCACTATTCTAAAGATGAGAGGTGTTATCGGATTATAATTTAATTAAATGTGATTATCGTAATTGCGAGCGATATTGAGACGGCATTAAGTTCGTTAACTTAAATCCGGAACTGAATAATTTTAACTTGTTTTTGCGTGACATGTGCAGATAATATGTAGTGCACACACCCTGAATAAAGGGAAACTTTTAGCCCAACATTTTCGCATTAAACTAATAAACACATAACCAAATGTGGTGGTTACGTTTTAATTAGTTTAATGTGGTGGTGTGCGTGGAACTACTTAAAATAAAAATTTGGAAACGATTATTTTGTCCGCAAAGTATAGGCTGTATCTTGTAAAAGGCGTTTGATGAAGAAGGGGTTTTATTTTAACACGTATTCTAGAGCCGAAGATAACCCAAGTTTCTGTATAAACGATTGCCCAAAAATGCTTCGGTGCGAATTTACAGGGTGTTGAAATTTACTTTTAAAAACGCAAAATAATACATTTCTTCAAAACCCTATGAAAGTAATTTGTTAATTTTTGCCAGTGTCGTGCGTACCTGCACGCTGCCGAATTTTTTCAATAAGAAAATGGTACACCACTGTATTTTTAATTTTTGCTATTATTTTTTTAAATTTTTTCTTGAATTTCAAATAAAAAATATTTCTTGCATTTGTTGGCTACGACATACGGTTAGGTTTATAAAGTCAGATTTGTGGTAGGTGAACTAAAAAGGACCCATGTCGCCTAGTATGTACTGACGTCAGCCCAATCGGAAGATTTGTTGAATATAATAGACCTAATTTTGAGAGAATATTTTATAGCCTAAACTTGTTAAAAATGTACTCACAAAGATCCGAAAATGCTCGCTCGCGGATTTACCGAGCATTAAATTTATCAAGTCTTCTTCTAAAACGTTAAAAAATAGCCAAGAATTATGCCTTGCCGGCGGATAATGCGGTTCAATTAAATTGTAGCCCAGAACCCCCAGCCAAACATTAACGCTCCATTCTGACTGAAACGAGTACGCTTTTATTACATGATGTTTTCTGTTACTCCACAAATTGTGGTAAAGAAAATGTATTACGGCACAGATTATAAATTTTTTAAGAAATACTCTTTTCCATAAAACCATTCATTAAATTATTATTGCAGTACGAGATGGGACGATTGGAAATTGACGTTATTTGACTAAAAAAGTTGATTGGGCTTATTTATGGACAAAGTGAGTTATTTGCGATAAAACTCAGGTATTTACCAACAACGTTTTTATTTATTAAATTTTAAAGTTTATCGACTGTAAAGACCGGTAAATCTATGGTACGCCTTTGAGGTCGGGTAACTCCCTTATCAGTTACGTTAGAATCCGAGTTCAAATGGGTTTGGGGACGAAAACGTTCGAAGGAATTGTAAAATTGTAATTGGCGGGCCAAAATGCAAGATAACATTACACTTTCAAAACATAGCAGATCTTGGAGATGAGGTTCAAAAATTACGCCAACACACATCAGGCGAATCAGACCAACTGGATATAGGAACGTGAGGAAGTGTAAAAATAACACAAATTTACACATATAAAAATTTACTTTTTAAAATAGCTCAGAATCATGCTTGCTCAACAGGAACTAAGTGTATAATATTATTTTTAAATTATTTATTGATAAGCATATATTGGAAATCACTTCAAGGCTACTTAGTAGTTCTTAAATGTTTAAAACTGTACTAATTAACATTCCACTCTAAGTATCTAAAAGTTTCGCACCATTCAAAAGAGTGACGGCTGACATCCAAATCGCCCCAATTGGCTTTCCCGTGTCTAAAGCTATTTATTTGCTCATTGCCTCCAAAATTTTCGCCCACGTTTTGCCCTGTTAGATCTTAAAATAGCCATCCCACTACTTGATTTAGAAAATGTGCCTATGTGTCTGCTGGGAATACTAAAAATGTCAACTCAATTTTTGTTGTTTCATTCATTCATTCCACAAGACTCATTATTTTTGGCATTGCTAAGTTTCGGAACTGGTGTTTTTCACTAAAATTTAAAATGATTGATAAATAAACAATGATTTATATACAAATAGAAGCCCGCTTAAACTGTATGTACCCTTTTAAATAAAAGGCGTAATTGCACTAGGTAACGGAGAGACTCCATCTAAATGAAAATTAAATTAATTAGCAAACTATGCACACATAAGATTCTCGGTCTTTAATTTAATGAAAGTCAGTCATATTTTCTGAACCGTGAGGAAGCAAGTCTTTATTAACATTTTAATAATAAGCCTGCAATAGAACAAAAGCCAGCAAAACAGAATGTGCTCCTAGTCGTATTGTACGGTTCAGTCCTGGCGAAGTTCCTGCAGCACTATTTGATGGATGTATTACTGAAAAATAAAATAGAGTTAAGAAGCAGCACAAAATAAAACCGTTTTGCTTTTACTTCTTAAACTGTTTTGAATGAACCTGTCTTTTGTATGCGTTTTATAACTAGCTGGTTTAAAGGGGTTCAGAAATAGTTTCTCCTGGACCATGCGAATAAGCGCATGTACTTTTTAATCATAGACATTTATACGTTTCCAGAGAAAAGGGATTAAATGTAACAGAATCAGGTTTAGAAGCTAAGACGGCTGTTACGTTGGATGTGGTTGTGTGTCTTTTTTTAGTGGTAGGAGCTCGGGTTTGTACGCATAATAAACTATTAGGCTTTATGAATACAGTTACATTTCATAAGAGTTTGCACAGTTTGTCAGTGCTCTTCAGCCAATTACAAAGTTGTTTGATTTTTTAAAGCGCGCACATACGAGCGTCATGGCCTCCGATCGAAGATTTTCATTAATTACAAGTCATTGTGCAATAGAAAAAAATAGCTTTTAAATAAAAAATTCAACTGAAAATTGAAAAACATCTACTGGGAAAAGTTGGTGTAGAAATGGATGGGACCAATGCATGGTTAACTCATCAAAAATGTTCTGATATTCACGATGCCATTTTGCATGTACATTATTTTCCCAATGTTTCCTCCTTTTTATAACTAAATATTTCAAGGCATTGTTCTGATAAGCATCAAAGATATGGCTTCCATTTTTCGACGCTTGTGTACAAGTCGAGTTTCGCCGAATGAGAATTGCCAACGATCACGTTTTATAAAACGATCTCCGATATGAAAGGAACGTTGGGCTAGAGAAAGATCTCAATTTTAGGGAGCATGAGCCGAGTCTTGATTTCAGATTCGTTTCAGATACGATTGACAGTCTAAAGCTTTAATTCATTATTTTTCTTATCATGCCATCTTCATTAACGACCACTTCTTTAAACGCTTTTTCATCTTTTGAAACGTGAATTATTTATACCACACTAAGATCATTTCAATATCCCATACTTCTGAAACAAAGTTTTTCCCTTACGGTCTTTTGTCTCTCGGTACTTCTTCGTCTTCCATAAGCTATACAACCCTGTTAGTCGTTTCAAAGTACCTGGCCAGACAAGCATTTTCTTTTATTTTTAAACGGGTCTCATCTATCTCAATTTATTTCTGCTCTTCCCACTTCGTTTTCACTTGTGTCCTCTTCAGTCCAGAAATTTTAATTATAGGCGTGCAAAGCCATATTGCATATGCCTGCAATCCTTCACGGATTTTATGTCTTTTGTAAATTTTCTACCCCAGATATCTCTAAAAACTTTGATCTGATTCCACTCAATTTCTTTTTTTGTGAAATCTGGAGCTGTATTTCTTAAGTGCTATCCAGAATATGTCTATTCAGACTTGACAAAGGTCATTTTGTTTTAAAATGAAGTTGAAGGGGTTGGTCAAAGACCTTGGTAGGACCTTTCTCAACTAGCTGGTATCTTTGTAGTGTAAATAATATGTTCCCTACAGGAGTTCCTTTCAACTTTGATTGAGTATCCATTTCTTGATTGTTTCTCACTCTGTCCGTATTATATCTATTTGGTTTTAGCATACATTTTTATTATAGTGTCAGTCCGCACCTTAATTTATTCCTTACTGCATTTTAAGATACTTATTGCTTGTTACAATGTGGAGAAGCTGAATGTGTTAAACGCTTTTTGGAGCTCTTATTAAAACTCTCTGTATTGTGATTTAATTCAGCAGTAAAAAGTTAAATAAGTAGTGTTTTCTACAGATGCAGAATTTTAAATGCTCAACATGTGGACTACATTAATACACTGAAATTAAACTGATGCTTCCTTTATTCAATTAGGGGTTTTCATCAATTTTCGGGTTCAATTTAACCAATTAATTTACTCGATTTACATTTTATTATTTGCTAGGTACATTGCTAGTATACGATCAGTAAAAATTCAGAAACACATAAATATTTTATTTTCTTAAAAGAGGTAAATATCAAAGATAATTTTAACATTTACATATATTCTGCAAACGTCGGTAAATCGTAAAAATGCAAGTTACCTCGAGCGGGAACCGGGTGTCGAACGCTTTCCAATTCCAATTCAGCTACCTCGCGATAAATGGACGAAATTTGAGCAACGCACTGAAGTACCAATCTTCCATCGTCAAAATGTATAAAAGATAATTGGAGTTCTAATTGCAAATCGCTCCAGTCACGTACATTGGCTCGTCTCAAGACTGCTGATTCGCTTTGATGTACCTGCAATAGAAAAAGGCTGGTACAAAAAGTGATGGAGAAGATAAGTTGGATATTTATTAAAGAAAAGCTCTCGCAGCTTATACATTAAGAAATAGCTGGTTTTTCTAATTTACTTAAAAACATTTTATATTATCCACATGCTCAGCCTGAAAGTAATTAGGTAATACAGAAGAAAATAAATAAACTTTAGTACTATAAGTATAGAAACATTGATTACACTTAGCTTAATGCCCATAACTAACTCCTTTAGTTGACTTGAGCTCAATACTCGCGCCGACAATTAAAATACTTTAATTCTTTAGCGATGGTAATTTAATTTTTCCTAATCATTTAAAAATAAAAGTCAATGAGTAAATTAAATCCATGTTAATTGCAAGTAGATTTTCTTGAACAAATCTGCCCATTAAAGTTGACTTAAGCTGAAATTGTGCTAAAATTCGATAGAATGGCCATTCGAAAGCTGGTTTGCTATTTTAAAAACTGTACAACTTTGCAGTTGGTTGCACAGTCAAATTTTCATCAACTGTTATATTGTTAATGTACACTGAGTTTTATCTGATGGCTAGTAGATGAATTTCATAAACTTTATCAGAAGCCAAATATTCTGAATGAAGAAACAATTGCAGTTTTGTGAACTCAAATATCAACAAATTAGGGTTTATCAAATTATTGAACTTTTGTACAAGGGGAACATTTCTAAGGAAGTTCACTGAAAGTTACTTGTCTTGAATCTTTATATCTACCTTTGGTTGCAAGTCAGTTGTGCTAAATGAAAGAGAAAACTGATACAAATTGTCGAAAAGAAAGTTTGGGAATAAGGGTGAGCAGAAAGAAACCAGAATCAGAAACATACAAAATAAGACACAACATGGTGGTTTACTTTAGTTCATACTAAATTTTGTTGAAATTTGAAATTAATTTTCATTTTATTGTGATAATTCTATACAGCCATAACTGTTAAAAAATGCAGTTTTTTGTTTTTACAATCATTGTTTTTACAGTCATTGACCCAAAAAAAATTAATAGCTTCAGTGTTAAAGACAAAACTTATATGATAATATATCCTGATAATAAAACCAATAATTTTTTTATTGCACCCTTAAACAGGTTGTCCAGGATAAGGATACATTGCATGGAGATGTCTGAAACCGTTAAAGATACGAAGTCGGTTAAATGAACAAAAAATTGGGAAATTAGAGGGCCAAATTTTGTAACTTTTTGTATATTTGTCTACTTATGTGACTTATATTGAACAAATGATTATCTATTAAAAATATATTTACATTTTTTAATATTTCCACAACTTTTTTCAAAATGGAACTTACAAGCCTCGTAACGTTTTCGGAATAACCCATGAAAGCGACGAATTTTGTTACAACTTTGTTTATTACTTGTTTACCTGTAAATCGTAGTGTATTTTGGCAAAAAAATGTTTCACTCGACAAAGAATTTAGTACAAAGTAGTAGAAAACCGAGCATGTCTCGAGTAGGTACTAATAATCATCAGACGGGTCAAATAAAAATGTCAAAGCTTCTATGAGAGAGAACAGTAAAAGTAAAGGCTTGCTATGTTGCGAACTGTCTGTTTTTCAAAAGAAGAATCACCAAAATCAGGCGGCAATTATTTTTCTGTAAACAATGAAGCAGGACAACCTAAAGGTGTCCGCTTTACCTCATACCAAAGGAATTAACTGGAGTCTCATAGGTGACTCAATAAAAGGACAGCAACTCACTGAGTCTCACAAGAGAAGTTTATACGAGGATTAGATCATTTAATTTGGTTCAAAATTCGAACAGTGAAATATGTTAAACGGACAGAGGACAAAGTTGAATTTGAACATTGGTTAGGAACAAGTTGCAAGGCGTTTTCTTGGGGAATGTAGCTGCATACCGATAGCAAAATTAGTTAAATATACACTGAACCATGGAATTAATATGACATCTAATTTATAAATAAAAATTCATACAGTATATAGCTACTTTTCATAAAAGTCTTCTGATCATTATTCGGCTTTACAACTTTTAATGACGGCCCTGGAAAAAGTAAAGTGAATAAGTATACTCAAGCACCAAGAAGTTCAGTGGATAATACTACTTTCTCTTTTGACTATTTCATCTGTTTCAACAAACTTCAAACAGCTCACAAAATATATTTTGTCAAATAGATTGTACCTAGTACACCTTGTAAAACAACCACAAACGCTCTAATTAAAGTTAGCCGGAAAAGTGAACCCCGATTCGGCATTTACTTTAACGCATACGTAAAAAGAAAATAACTTTTAGTCAATTGTGGGGCGTGCAAGTTGTCTAGGAGCAAAGGATTTTAATTACATATGTAATATATAATAAGTATAAAGTGTATTTTCTTTTGTCAGGAGATATTTAAGGTTTTGTTTTGTGATTTGCTATTACACTTGGCTCGTTTCGTATGTTTTAAATATTAAGTTGATTTAAATTTACAATGTAATCTTTTTAAAAATTGTCATTAACAAAAATTGAAACTTTTCTGACTTCAAAAGGATTTACACCACAGCAAAAGCAAACATTTTTCATTTACATATTTAACTACTGGATCTGAATTGAAACCAGCAAATTTATGTGGATGATATTTTCAATAAACACTTTAGCAATAAAAAAATTACAAAATGAAAAAGATTCACCAACAAGTTCGACGATTTGTTGAACAACTGCGGTCATTTTTTTCTGATTATTTTACCTGTATTTTGGTGTAATATTTTGTCCGCTGTTGCGCTTCATTTTTCTGTTCTTTTACATATTTATATTATTCTTCTGTTTCATAGGATGTGACATGTGGTTACGTGTGCAAGCATATTAACTAAACATGCGTTGTATGACTCTCTCTCTTTTAAAATATCTGTTTAAATAATAATTCTTTTCAACGCATTTGCTTTTGGTATCTTATTTAATAGAAGAAGATATAATAATACTTGCACTGAACTAAACTCTTTATTAAGTCGCTACGATTCGATTCGCTCCAATTTAATTCGCTACGAAAAGCTTTTATGATAGCAAACTTGAAAACTTTTACAAATTTCTATGGAAAAAGAATGTAGATAATTAAAAACTTCATGGTAAATTGTATTCATTATCACCATTAATTATTATTTTTGTCCAAATGGATCTACATCACTTTCAAAGAAAACGACTTGCCCATTGGCATTAATGGTTAGGTTTCAAATATGTATTCTATTTGCAGTGATAATAATTTAGCCTGTCGTGTTTGCTACTATTATAGTCCAACCAACTATGAACATTGAAGTCAACCAATTAAATAATTTTTATTTAAATTTAGCCTGAACTGATCAAATGGAACTTGTATTGAAAGTCAAACCGTTAGCTCACAAAGCTAGCTGTAAATGCTGAGCACGGTCCCTAACAACACTTGACTGCTTTGCGAGAAAGCAAATCTAACGAACTGGCAGAGAAAAGTAATTTATATTCCAATAATGATTAATTTCAGTTAGGCAGCTTTCCTTAACTGAGAAAATTCAATCGTGTAAGTTGTTATTGCATGAATTGAAAAGTGAGGTTGATTAATTTAAAGCGGGTGCGAATGTTATTCTTTTCGCCAACATTGTTTTTTTACGCCAAAATTGATTCACATGAAGACCCCGCTGAGCAGAATTAGGCTCAGCATTCGTGAAATTTGCAAATATATTTGATTAATGTGAGTAACCTAACATGTGGAATGCTCTCGGCAGAAAATTTCCTTAGGATTTGGTCTTGCATGTTAAAGAACAAGGCACGAATCATGATTGGCTAATTATCTAATTATCCTGCTGAGCTCAAATGTGGCTTCATTGATATTCTTTGAAATTGATGCTATGGAACGTTGAAGTAAGCTATTTTTGTGACTAAATAAATTGGATATAATAACATTGAGATTATGAGCCGATTAGGTAATTTATTTTCTCTCGCTTTGATTAGGTAATTTATGAGATATTTTCGCCAACCTATTTTCTTCTCTGCATGATACAAGGTACTTTTAGAGTTAGGTGTTTTTGTGAAAAATAAGTACGTTTTTTGAAAACTATAAGCAGCTTTCAAATTGCTTTTTCAAACTCTGATCAACGCATTGGGGAATAAATTTACCCTGTGACAAACTTATGCAATATTGATAAAAGTATATTGTAGCAATATCAAACGTAGCCAGACCTATTAAGATGCGAGAATGCTTGTCGGAAACATGAAAAAAACCATCTAGTTTTCAATAATGCTACTCAGTATTATTAAAAACTATATGTTTTTTTACTACCACTATACGGTGGTATTGAAAATGCAGCTGTACTTTAAATCAAATAATCGAATGCTGTGTTTGTTTTGCTGCAGCTTTGCTAATATAAAAGGATTTTCTTAGTGCATAACTGTAGTATTGGATATAATTTATCCATCTACAAAATGAAAATTCAGAACTTTTCCTAAAGCGTAGCTGCTGATAAATTTTAACGCACTACCGAGCAGTGAACAACCTATTTTCATACTTATAACCCGTAGCGTACAAAGACATTTGTATTTTTCCTTGACTCTGGACTCATATTTTCCTGACGTGCAAATTTTTTAATTTTTATATTCACCGCTCATTATTTAGAAACTCGATTTAAGGAGGACGTAATGTGTGCCAATGTAGTTTTTAGCCCCGAAATTTCGAATTACATTTTGCTGTAATTGACGAGATTGTGAAGATATATTTTTGTGCAACTGCAAAACATTAGTTGCACTTATGATTATTAGAAATGTCTTTGCTTCAGCGACTAGAGCACATTTCTGCTGAACTAAGGGAGGCATTATAACAGTATACTAGCAAACATATTTTGCTAATAAAATTAACTTTTGAAAAATTAAATTGATCTTAAAAGAAAACAGAGCATCAAAATTTTTGTTGTTGTTTTTATGCATATAAATTCTACTTAAATTGCAATTTTCGTTATTTGAATTTACATAAAGAGTTTTCACGCCGTTTGAATTTTATCCAGCAGAATTTGACTGCCGATTCTTCAAGAAACCTGATTAGAACCTGCATATTTACCTGGACATCAGGGAGTTTCAATGCAAAAACGTCTTTAGTTATATCTGTATAGCTTGATTTTAGTTATTTAAATTGTTTCCTTTTCCCAAACATTGCGTGAAAATTAAATATGTAGTAGGCGAAATTTGATACCGATTCTGCAGGTCTTCCTGGACTATAATTTTCACAAAATAATTATTTTGTACCTTTCTTTTATGTGCTTGTAGCTCACTTTAAGCCTGGATTTAATTAGTTCAATCCGATAGCTTCATTTAAAATCGTTCCCAATTTAATGGCATAAAAGAAAAGCAAACCCTTTAATATAGCACATCAAATTAAAAGAACAAATTACCGTAATGTTGTTCAAAATAAATTTTAAGTCCGCTGGAGGCCTGGACGGGTGCGAGGAACAGTTGGCGCGTAAAATATCACCGTAATCCAGAGGCTCCCTTCCTACACTGATCTGTGGCGGATGCTCCGGTAACTCTGAAAATTAAAAGACTAATTAAATATATCTTCAAATCGTTTGATAAATTTTTTGCAAATTACTCATTACGTGATTTGTCCTAATTGGCCATTTCTCACCCGAAAGGCATACTTAAAAAGCGTTTAATTTCAGATCTGACGACTTCTCCGAAGTAAAAGCAAAACCTGTATTAGAATTTTCAAAAGCAGTCGAATGCTCACATAACAATGTACAACTAATACAACATTAATAAATTTTCCACTGGTTTGCTCTGTACAGCATCTTTAAACTTGGAAAATCTACAGATCTTGGTTAATTTGTTTCTAAAACTTTGTAGATCTTCTATGTATTTAGTACATTATATTGTACTGGGTGACTTCGCTTACTATTTTCAACAATAATTTTGTCGCTTTAGAGATGAGCTATTAGACCAATGTCATAATAGCTATTTTTATAAAATATTTTAGCAATAATATATTGTGGACAAAAGTGGTAAAGTTTAACATTTTAGGAGGATGGTTAGGAGTAATATAGAGCGCCAGCAACAACTAAAATGCAGCAAGCAGTCCTGAAATATCTCTAGAAATTAGAATTAATTAGTTTCCAAAATAAATAAGTAACTCCGGCAAAATGGTTCAAAACAGTAATATTTTACTGCCTATATTTACAAATAGGTTTTCGGGTGATTTTTGTGCGTTCATGCAACTATTACATTGTCCAATTTACTAGTATTTTGCGCAGTGCCTGATATTTAATTAATTTCAAAATGGCCAAACGCTATTTACAAACACGCTAACTGAACACTGTACATACTTTTATCGGTGTCCCCTTCTTTATAATTTAAAACGGTAAAACAAAAATGCGAAATTTGCGAATTGGAAAAATTATGTGCATGGGCGTTATGAAATTCCCTAATATTAAAGTCCTATGTTATTTGCCATTCGACCGGAAGATATGAACTTTTTCAATACCAGAATGAGCGGGGCTAATCAATTTCAGCTAATAGGCTTATGTATTTAATAACACACAGTTCAGATCATTGGTTTTTTGATGGATCATTTACTGTTGTGATTATGGTTACAGCATGCATGAAAACAACGTGAGTTCAGTTTCAATTTAGAATTTAGGACTGGGAGGAACCTTTTAGTAATGAAATTTCCAGCTGCGTGTATTAAAAACGTGTTAGGGATATGCACGTTTTTTAATTAACTAATTTTTCAAAAAATGTAATGTCAATAGGAATGTTTTGGAATTAATTTGTAATTAACTCATTAATTAGAGTCGTTGATGTACGGAGTGCTTCAAGATTGACCATTCTTTTAGAATGGTTCAAACGTTACCTGCAGAAATTAAAAAGTACTAAAACTATGTAAAAAAATAATGTAAGAAGTGATATAATTGTAGAAAACTAAATGATACATCTGATAGTTTTTAATGTTCATCTACAGATGACGGCTTTTTTATTAACATTAGGTAAATATCTATTCCTGTATGTAAAATTAAAAGACAGGTTACAAAAGCGATTATTTTCCTAACGCAAAGTTTAAATTGAACATACATTTAATTTTACTTCTTCGATTGCGTCTCAAAGCAATGATATAAAGACATACATACAATACGTGTTTTTTTAGTGCCAGAGAGTGCATTATTTCCGTTGGTGTTGAACTTTCGTAAAATAGTTTCATATAAAAGTTGTTGACGGGCAAAGTGCGCACATTTTAAAAATATCATATGTAATACAGAGTGTCTCAGAAAAGCGAGGCAAGATCAAATTGTATTTTTTTAAATAGAGCTACCCATTTTTTATTAGCTCATGGAATGCAGATTGAAACGCTGCATATGCACCGTAAATTGTTTTTTTCTTACTTACGACGTTGTTAGATTATTGGCATTTTAGGAAAATTTTGCTTAAAAACATGGTATCTAAGAATGCATTGTAGAAGCAAAAAAAAGCAGTTAAAGATACAAAAAAAACGTTATTCGAATCACCACAGATGAGTTAAGAATTCTATTGAACCAAAATGTCAATACATTAAACAGGGTGTTAACAATGTGGACTTTAATCTAAAACTTTTTAACGCAATATAATTTTTGTTTTTCAAATGGAAGTACCCGTATATTATTACGTCATTAGATAGACAATTTGCAAAGTTACAAAGTTACAATTTTGCATTTACACTTTAATCTGTGAAATCAACCGTCTTCAAATTATAAATTATTTCATTTAAAAATTTCAAAAAGTTGTTACATTTTGTAATGTGGGTATGTATTGTATATTGTATTTGAGTACCTTGACACTGGACATATCTTTTAGGCATCCAAAATTACTTGTCAGCAAATGCACATTCAACTTAGAAAAATTAAATAAAGAGTAGAAAAAATGCCTTATAATTAATGACCGGGTTTATGAGAAAAAACCTGAAGACATACTATTGAACTCACTGAATTGAACAAATCTATAGGACATAATAGTTTAGGAACGCCATTAAACAACTTCTTACGCATAAGCAATTTCTTTACTTAAAAAGTTGATATTGTTTCTCATTCTACGATACTAAACTTTTGCAATAGAGTCATCTGCTTATTTGTGCGAAATTACTGAGCAAACAAGGGAAAACACCCGAAATGTCAAAACCACTATTAAAAAGTTTTTCTTGACAAGCCAACCGCCGGAGTTCAAACTTATATTGTCCCCGAAATCAAATCAAAACTTTTATCCGGTCCAAATGTGTACTGAAGCACACTGGCGATTATGTTTTATTAGATTTGACAAAGTTCTGATACAAGGACCTTCAGCCTGACCATAACACATATTGGCCTTTGCACAAACATTTTAAGATACTCCATTTGTAGGGATACTCCGCTGTAAAGTGCTTGGCGAAGAAATTACGATAGACTGTTAATATAGAAAAAAACGTATCACTTGACGTTGAATTGATTCATGTATTAAAGTTTCCATTATTGGTTCGATCTATTGCCATGGAATTTCAGAAAGAGTGTGAATAGCAGAACAGTTTAACATTTAGATGCTCACCAGTCTGCACAAAATTTTATAAATTTGTTACAGCAAAACACTTTTCAACAACAAACTCATCATTGATTTTGATTCCGCTGCTGGGGATTCTGAATTTATTTTTTGGAAATATGAGGCAGGGTTGTATAATCCCAGTTTTATTAATTAAGGGTGCACAATAAAATAGCGTTTGGCTACATGTTTTTCGACTTTTCCTTCCGAAACCCTCTGCAAACAATTATTTATGCCCGAAGTCAACATTTTAGAACAAAAATCTGTAAGTTTTATAAAACGCAAGGAAGAAAGCACTTCTTCAACTCTTAGTCGCTACGAGTTAAGACTTCACCATTCAAAAATTCAATGACGCAATCTTTTCTTTTCTTTGGTGACATTCACTTTCTCCGTAAAATCAATTTGCCAATAAAAGCCAACTAATGGTTTGTGAGTCTCTCATGTCGAATATTTTGCTCATTGAAAATCCTCCGAATTAGAGGAACCTTGAATCATTAGCGACGTCGGTGTCCGTTTTAAGTTTTAAAGAGGACAATTTAAAAACTAACCACAAATTTAACGCTAACATCCAAATATTTGCTTAAATGCATCATGCTTCCGTTGCGTAATTTTTTCAAATAGATTCCAGCTGTATTAATAGCCTGCCAAATGACTATTGCACTAGTTTACAACATTGTTTAATATTAAAGTTGAAATTGCGCTTGAAAAAGCTAATATTTTCGAGAAATATACCAGACAGGTTTTAAACATTTTTCCGTCTTGTGTAATTTCGCCCCTGAAAAGAAATAATGCCAATTATTAGCCACCCTATTTTCCGAGGAAAATGCTTCCTTTGCAAGCGCATCGCTTTTAACGCAAGAAAAGTGCCTACCATCGAGTTAAGGTATTTTGGCCGATAAATAAATATTTTATCTTTAATTCTTAATAAAATGAGGAATGTCCCGCTGCAAGTTTTTGTTTTGAACGCCCCGATTTTCTTCATTTTTTCAGATAAAAAGTTGTCGGGGTGGAAGTGGTGCAAATAGATCTGCAAGTCAGTAACCTAAAAGTCTGTGGTTCCCATGCAACGAATTTGTAAAGAATGAATGTTGAAGACCGAACGTTCATTCGAACTTTTAACAAACTTAGTTACAAATTAGTTAGAAATTTAATTTCGTATTGTATCTTCACTAAATAGATTGCTTCACGACTACTTTTCCTTTGACAAGTGGAAGATATTGGGGCTTGAACTCTTACTAAACATTTCATTTTTTTTCTTGAGAGCTAAAATATGGCATACGCAACAGTCAGGATGAAGTGAATGAAAAATTAATGTATTCAAAAAAGCAAACAAGCAAATTAAAAAAGTTGTTAAACAAAATGATGAAAATGTCGTAACGAATCATGCACATTAGTAGATTAATTTTAAATAATTTAGCCTGGGCGCCTCCTACTTTTATATTTATCTATTCTTAGGTGATTCGTCCTGTCCTATTCTTGATCCTGTATTTCAGGCCAGAAACCAACAATATATTTTTTAAGCTTGTTCGTGACAGTATTGTTTTCTGAAGCTCACAGAATCTTATATCTCTCACTTTTAAGTAAATAATAATAAGTCTCACAGCATTTTGGTTCGAACTCCCATTTCAATTTTATTTGTAACTTTTAATACGGAGCCATAGCCAACCATTTTAATAGCCAAAACTTTTTGATAGAAAAAATTGATTGTATCGTTATTGAGCCAACGCTGTAGCTTACAGTTTGGTTAAACAAAGATGATTGAACTAAGCTCTAACATCTGATTTGGTCAATATATAGAAAATTATTTTTAAGAAATTTTATTTAAATTTATACTCAAAATTCAATACTTTTGCATCAGCTTTCATGCATACACTGATTCAGCCTGGATTTAGAAGCAATTTTGTATTTATTTGAAAATCAATACTCAAGTCATATAATAGTATTAAAGATGAGCTTGAAGGTGCTAAGTAACATTAAATTAAAGCTAGTGTATTGTGCTTTGCAAGAATCAACCAGGTGCACCAAAAACATTCGTCTATTTCATAAGTGCTGAATGATGGCAATATCTACACAACAGAACCTTACTGATAGCATTCAAAAATTAATGCCTTTCAATGAACACAACAAGCAGAATTTATTTTATTCCTTTTTATTTGAAAATTTTATGGATGAGATATGCACGACAGTGAACAAATGTTTTAATAACTCTCTACGCAGCAAAATGTCTTAGTGGTGGCATATTTTGAGTATTAGCGGAAATGTTAAAGTGCGGTATTTAGTATACATTTTGTGTCCTATAGAAAAATGTATCTATAGCAATAGCAAATTGGAAGAAACTTTCAAGCAGCTGACTTTAGATAGACATGAGCAAACAATATCGCAATATCATACCCTTATTTGGCATTCTTCAAATTGCGGTCATAAAATCATCTGCACCATAATATTCGTTTTGCAGCTAAACTAACAACAATCGTAAAAAGCATTATAAATCTGCCACAGTGACCGTTATATCTGTTCATGCTTGGCACAAACGCCGGAAGTGCAAATGTAGCAGCCACATAAATATCAACTTAAGTGTTTAGATTCTTTTCAAAAAGCGCATTTGAGTGAAATGTAATGGCAAAGTATTTTACTTACGCACAACTGACATGGACTTTGAATCCATCTTTATGTGCATATTCGGACCGTTTTCTGTGGTAACTTCGCAACTAAAGTTTCCAGCCAGATTGAACTCGATATCCGTTAGAACCACTTGTGTCGAGTTTGAGTTGGTCAGCTGAAAGGAAAATAGATGCGTTAGCCTTGTTCGCCTAGATCAAGTGTCTGTACCGGATAATGGCGTGAATTGTAAATGAGCCAAGACTTATCATACTGTCGTTGGTCGGGGTTTATTATGGACAGTTAAGCGAATCAACTACCACCCATTTAGCGAATTTAATCTTATGAATATTTAGATCAAGAACGTGATGGCATAGTACAAGTCCTAACGTAATATTTGCATTGTGAAACATTTATCACTTTAATCGAAATGTTTTGAATACAATATTATACAAAATTCATATTAAAGAACAATGTTTCAAAAATGTCCCGCTTCATTTGGTGTTAATCGAATTATTATATTTCATGCATTTTTCGAAACTCCTGACAAAAGTTTGCTTATTATCAATAAGATCACCACTCGTGTGATTTTAAAAGTTTAAAATTTTATTAAACAAAAGAGCGGTGGTGTTTTTGTACCTATATCGATTTGTCTTTTCATCTCTTTATTACTGCTTAACTCTTTCTAGTACAGTTAAAAGTCTAAATAAAATACCATTAGAACTCTCTTGTAAGAATTTATACAATTATTTTATAATAAATGATACTGCTCTCTGGGTGTTTTTTATGAAACATTATCACTTCTATAAATTCGCCTGATGTAACATGTGCACATTTGTCCTCACGCGATTTGCAAATAATGTTATGTCTAATTTCGGCATAGAAATCAATTCGAAAACAATTTTCCAGTCTGCACAAGAAATCAACCCGCATAGTTAGATTCCTCCGATCCGCCCTATAGACTGGTTGCCTTTAGCGCAATTTTCCGTGAGAGTTCAGTTCCAGCGTTCGTGGTGTTTGCAAAGCTATGCGCATTTCAAAGGATATTAAATTGAATGTTCCGCAGGAATTTTCAATTGAACACCCTGTGTTTTATCGTGGCAGGCAAAAATTTCACTCATTCTCGTCGTAAGAGCCTTATACGATAATGTATCTAGCTTAAAGCAATGCTAGTTCGTAAGCTAAAATATTCTACTGAATCGCAATTACGGTTTATTTTAGAACAGCCTGATGTGTTTCTGAGCAAATAGCTGGGCATCGTTTCATGGACCATACGAGTAATGCCAGTAAATATACAGAGAGGTTCATTTTATTTGAAAATATTTCTATTTAGACAACATATAGGTATTTTAAACTCAATTTTTGGTGTCATAAATTTTAAAGGGAAGCATATTTTAATTTTATTTTAATCATGTAGGGTGCTCCAATAAAAGTTGCATGTCCAATTTTTATAAAGTTTGGTAATCTCTATATTTGTTTACATTTTTATTCTACGGAAAACTATTTTTCATATAATGTGAAACTATAAAACAAATTTAACAATGTAGGATTGCTTCGTTACCTTCGTGCCTTTCAATGCACATTCAAACTCGATAAAAAAAATCCACATGAAATCCAAAAACTAATATTTTAAATTAAACTAAGTTAAACTCAGTGATATCGTGTGGAAAGCATTATGAGATTTTCCGCTAAAACGAATGCAATGTAAAATTATGGACGTTTTTTCAGGTGATTGGGATTTGGTACACGAATGTTTAAAGTCTTAATGGAAACCGATTCAGGCATTCAAATATTCGGTTGAAAAATTTAATTTAAACTTGGAAGATCTGCCATCGATAAGGCCAAAAAAGCACATTTATTTTTTGCTTTTCTAGTATCGTGAGTAGGAGGAGGCGTGTTGTGTAAACTATGTGAGAATGATATCAAATGATACTCCCTTCTTTATGAAATAAACTCATAAAAACGTAACAATTTTCTTCTGGATGGTTTCACCTATAGCGGCAAACTTGTTCGAGACAGTTTAAGCTTTCAGCTTGACTCGATTTGCGTATTTCGTATTTCTTAAGATTTAACTCTTGTATTTCTCTTTAATCGTGATGACTAGGATATTTCTTTTGCTAGATAAGAGAATATTGATTTTAGTATTCTCGTTTTTTTTGAATGGCTACTCTCTACTTTCGTGATTGGCTGATCGTTTGCCCTCCGGATAAAATGGGCGATTTCTAAACAAAATATATTTTGCGGTTTAAGTACTAGAGACTACTTCTTCAATTAGAGTGACCTTTGGAATAATACCAAAGTTTCCATCTTGGTCAGCCCAAACTGTTTGTTCCGCAAATGTTAGATTACGATTGTTGTGATTCACAGTTCGTGCAGCACTTGAGCTTTAGATCGTAATTAATTTTTTAAACTTCTAAGCTAAAATGATATTTTATGATTTGTTTAAAAAAAATGATATTATTTAAAAAATGGTTGAGTTTCGAAGATTGATGTTGGAAGGTCGATTAATGTCATTTTCCGATCACGTAAATATCTCTGGAGGCATTCATTTGCATTTAAAAAGTTAGTAAACAGTTATTTAACACGTAGATTTTTAAATCTGATGTAAAAATTTGCTTTAAAAATTAGATAATACTAAGTTACGAGTTGCTTCAAATAAACCTTGTGTCGAACACTGACTTTTTGCAAATCCACAAAGTGCTTGTTACATTAAACTAACCCAAAATTTGCTGTTTTCCTACCGAAATTATTCGAAATAAGTTTTTAAAAAATACGCTTGTCTCGAGGTCAGTATCTATATCGATGGTTTTTAACGCCACCAAATATAATTTTGTGTCATTTACTGGAAAGTCTTCAGCGTTTTGATTGGGCGACTCAAAGACTATTTTTATATATTTTTTAATGCAAAATATGTTAATGTTCTTAAGTAAAAGACATGATATAATAGATTACAAGATGCATGAAGAATAATGACAATAAGATTATTAAAATATTCAATACTTGTAATGGAACCGTGAATGAAATTATGCCATATATAATGTAGAATAAAGTGTTGCATTTTTATATTCATGTTGATTTACAACGAACATCAATACACATAATATATTTAAGCCAAATATTGTCAAAGTAATGTCAAATAAATTGTTTTTGTGCTTGGAGAACCTTACAAGTTATACAAGAATGTTTATATTCTAAAACATTATAATGATGCTTCATGTGCGTCCTAAGTGTGTCAATAGCATGAATTAACGATGGAAAGATTAAATTTTGTTGCAAACCGAGAATTTAGTTTTGCAATTATAAATAATTTATACCCTAAAATCACCCATTTGGAAATGCCACCCGCATGCGGAACATCGTAGGGAACTACATAGTTACAAGAACAACTGGTCTGCCAAAAGAAAAAAAATTAATTCATTTAAAGATGAAGCAATAATTCCCAATCTCACTTCCAATTTTAATTGACTATTTAGTATGATACAAGTACAAATAGTTTCCATTAACATCTCGAAATAAACCTCTTATAATTCTATAAACTATAGCAACTGCAGGGCAATTTCTTCTCTTGCAAGATTTCAAGTTTTGTTGGCAAACATATGTTTTTAGAAACATCGAGGGTCTTTTTGAACCGGAGCCAATTCTTTTGCAAGCGCTGAATGTTTTCGGTCAAGATCAAATCTACGTTTCTTATTTCCCGGGCAATTATTTAGAGGTAAACAACAACTTCGCCTCTGCATTTCCTTTGGTAATAATTTAGCTTGAAATACGAGAACCTCTCGCAATGAAAACTTCGTATTTTGGGATATATTATCGTTACTTATGGGGCGACCCTGTGGTATAAAATATTTTTTCTGGTACAGTCTTTTTAATATAACATTTATGTTATTATTGGATCAATTTACTGAACATCACTGTCAGCTTCTACATATTGCTTTCAAAGTTGAATCATTTATTTTGGCAGCTTTAAGAATTTGTAAATTACAGTTGAAATATAAATAATAACTTTTTATCAAAGTTGCACAATTACAGTTTATAATAAATTAGTTCTTCGAAAAATACTTTATCAAGTGGATGACGGATTGACAAAAATTGTCCAGAATTGAATCCCCTTGTTTGGTTACCAAAAAGCCTTGCTCGTCGTAGCCACGAGTCTTTACAAGAGTCCAAAATAAAATCTGTGGGGTCCATGAATGAAATTACAAGCATTTTTAATACGTTGTTGAAGTTCTTCCATAGTATTAACTTTTCTATCACGATACATCTCAACTGTTTTAAATAGTCCCACACAAAAAATCGCAAGATGATAAATCCGGAGGGCGTGCAGTCCAAAAAATGGAGCCACTGTGCCCTACCTAGGAAATGAATTCTCTTTACAGCATTTACCCCATTTTGCGTAAATATAGCCGCGTCTCCAGCTAAAAATTTTCGTAACATCTTCATTTTTGTTAAACTGTTCTAAAATCCATAAGCAATATCAACTCTTAGAAGTTGAAATTCAACTTAGAAGTTTCTAGTTTTTATTTCAATACTACAGACGTTGTTTCAAGATGAGCTAAGTATAGCGCTATGGCTTCTGTCGTGATTTTTCCCAAAGTGCAATTTATTTGTTGATATATTTTTACATATATCGTTTTCTTTAAAACCCGTACGTTTTGCGTCGAGATACGCCTAAATTTCGCTGGAATTTGCACACCCCTGCTTATAATGCACAGAAGTAGAGGCTCAGGAGTGGTCTAAGCTAATATGTAAACCGGGTAACTATTCAACAAACAAAGGTTTTCGACTTACAATTGAGAGCCTCATGTTCAGTTAGTGTCAATTGAATCCTGGTTGTATTTCTCTTTGTCCCTTCCTTTGTATCTTGACAGGTATTTACTAACGATGTTGAAACTAAACAAATTCCTATGTTAGCGGTTTCAGTTATATTCTATTTGAAATGACTAGAAAATAATAATTTAGTGTGTTTCGCAACAAAAAATCTTAATAGTCCAGGTGAGAAACGTATTGCTGTTTCATATCTTACGCTTACTTTGATATCGGACACTTACTAAACCACAGGCTGTTTAGATATTGGTGGTGGTTGTGAAGAATCAGATCAACTGAAATCTTGTTAAACACCGAGCTTCATAAAACATTGATGGAAACAAGCCAGAATATTATTTAATTTAAAATTGGAGA